TTTTCAAACTGAAGAGGTAATAATAAGTACTTTAACTCATTTCGACTCCTATCGAGACACTGAAGACAGCAGGCCAGCGTTTGGGCAGATTCGAGACGTAGATGGTCCGGTTGTTTGTGTATTCATGGCTAGGTTACTCACGGGTCCATATATAGCAGCCGTGAGCCTACAAACAGCCCTTTCATTACTGCGAGCTTTCTCTAGTCATTTCAGCAGACACAATCCAACAGTCTGTAATCAACAGCTAAACCTCACCTCCCAGGCAGAAACCAGCCCACCTCCACACACACCGACCCCCCTGAAGGAACGGCAACCCCTCATTTATACGGACAAATATAACAGCACGGGGAATACATACGCAATAATGGAGACATCACATGACTCAAGTCATGAAAGAGTTCATGAAGAGTCACTGTTATTGGAACACTTAATAACGATTACAGATGCAGCTGCACAGATTAGTGGCAGAAGATTTATCGTTAGTCGTCGGCTTTCGTCAGCGATAAAGCAATTCTGACAGTTAGTCGTTAATATGTTTGAGTTTTAAAGTAACACGAGGCAAAGGGTTACCAGTTATCAAACAGAGCGAGACCATCAGTCACATAAACCTCAAGATCAGTTCATGAGTCAAGACTTACAGCCAGGAGAGTCCATCAGAAACAAGGCATGCGTCTACAGTCTTCTTAACCCTGAGAAAGCCAGAACGGCACTAGAGAACGAAGACGGTAGACATTCAGTTGATTTGCTAAAATATATAGTTTATTCTTGACTTTCAATGTTTATTAAAGGTATGAGAGTTTATTGTTGGCACTCAAAATCGTATGATTTGCCCGTTGTGGTACTAATTTGTAGAATTACAGAAGTAAAATATAAAATCACAGTTCAAAATTTAGTCTTAAACATAAGTTACTCAATATCTATTCAACCATCACTACAGTAAGCGCTGTATTCCATTCATGAACATTTTGCCTGTTTTTGTCTATTTTCTGGGTGTTTCAGTCAATGTTTTTTATCAATAATTGTTACTGTAACCTGTGTTGATACTGTTTGGGTTAAAGTGGCTTTAATTTTCAACCAATTTTGGATTAATTTTAATTAAGCAGTATAGTACTGTAATTTTGTATACAAAAGCCCTATTCGCATGGGATTAGTATCTGGTGACCTGTAGTAATTTGTAATAATTGCGGAGTTTGTCTATGATCTTAATCACGTGCGAATCGGCCATGTCTGTATTTGTAAAGTAAAAATTCCCCCACAAATGACCGACTATATTTGTCCGAACACCGAGGTCCTGTGATGATACTAGTCCCGTGCGAATCGGCATCTCTGTGATTTGTGATTTTTTTTCAAGGTTTTTGTTTCATCTGTGCCTTTTTATCCATCTTTCGTGAAGAATGGAGGCTGTGTTGGAGTGTTTTGATAGCATTTTTGGTGATGGGTCATATCGATATACACAACTACACAATTTGCAGAAAGTAAAAGCTGAAAACCATTAGAAGAGCAAAATCAAAAAGATTGATTAGATGGAGATGAATGACATGTATAGCAGCATGCGGTAGGGACTTTATTCTGTTTAAATCATAATATATCATACAGCTAGACCTTTAACGAAATAGCAATAGCATAAATTCGAGAAAAATCACAGGCTTCAGTTATCCCGTGCGAATGTGCCACATGACATTCAGATGTGACGGGGTCATTTATAAATCACACGAGGTGCCCCGATAATCCTTATCCCGTGCGAATAGGGCTAAAGAAGAGCAAAACAGCCCCGAATGTTGGGTCAAACATTTAAATCAACCCAGCTGGGTCAAATCAAAACAGCCTAAACTGGGTTGTTTTTAACGCGGCATTTTGATGAGGACTCAAAAATAAAAAGGTTTGAGGGTCAGATTCTACATGAAACATTAAAACATGCATTTTCGCTTTAATATAGACAGTAAAAGTGCAATTCAAATAAACTTGCCTATCTCTACACATGACACAGATCCAGATTCAGTGCAACACAGAACACACAATGCTTTATCTCTCTCAAAAAGTACAAAATAAACAATCTGTTCCTCTAAAGCTTTGGCATTATGAAGAGATGAAGATAAATCATGTGTTTGTGTTTTTCACAAAAGGCAGACGACAGCTTGGAGTAAAGATAACACAAGTCTCCGAGTCAGACACTTTATCAACAGTTGCTGAAGACAAAGGCTGCTGTGGGCTCACGTACGGATATAAAAGTCTACACTCCTGTAAAAACAGCTGGTTTATGAGCTGTTAAACAACAAAGATAACTTTTTCAACTTTAATGTAAAAATTACAACCTATGCAATGCCTCTGAAAACCAAAGTGACTAATTTCAGAGAAAAAATATTGCAAATTAAAATAGCATAAGTGCACAAGTGTTACAGAATGCACATGTGAAATACTGCACACCTAATTGGTTGTCATATTTACATTCAAAGTGCAAAAGTTCTGATATGATTTTATATCGGGGAGTGTGTGTGTTTTTTAATCCTTCCCGATTGTTGTTGTAAAACAGTCCGAACACCTTCTCCCTCTGTGCTTCAGAACACTATACGCTTGGGTACCCTTCATATTTTGGCAACACTTTACAATAAAGTTCATTAGTTAACTACATTAGTTAGCATGAACTAATAATGAACTGCACTTATACAGCATTTATTAATCTTTGTTAATGTTAATTTCAACATACTGTATTAAAATCTTGTCAACATTAACTGATGCACATGAACAAACAATGAAAAGCTGTAGTTTTATTAACTAACATTGACAAATACAGTAACAAATGTATTGCTCATGGTTAGTTCATGTTAGTTAATAATACATAAACTAATGAACCTTATTGTAAAGTGTCACCAAACATATCTTTAACATGGATAACAAATGTTATATCTATCTAAGAACAAAATAAAATGTAAGTTTTATTCCTAGTTCAATGACTTAAACCCCATGTCCCTAAACCCTTAAACCCTAAGTCTTGAGGTTGGTTAAATACCTTAACAGCCAGCGTCACTATATCATCTGAATAATAAAGCATATATAGTCTATTTTATTTCTCGGTGTGCTCTCATTGACTGATGCCCACTACACACACTAGAGGAAGCATAATATTTAAAAGGCTGAACACAGACACAGTAAATATAAAAATCGAAGCAACACTTTACTGTTGCAGTGCACGTCATTCACGGTCATCAACATAAACTCCTATGAACCATGCATGTAAAATGTGCTTTTGACACCTCAGGAATAACTCGCTTCTGGCACTGAGACGACATGTGAAAGTGAGCGTGTACATCTGTAGTGCCAGCTATATTGTCGTCAGTTAACTTACATTAAATCATTTAATCATTAGCAGACACTTTTATCTGAAGCGTTTTACAAATGAGGAGAATAATAGAAGCAATCAGACCAACAATGCCAAACGCTCACACACACTCGACGGTGGGTTTAAATATCACCCTGAGATATCAAATGTGTGCGATTAAAAGAAATGAAATAAAAAGCAATACTGAAGAATTAACGTTAAGCGAGTCATTTAACAGGTTGAGAGAATTTTTGCTGATGAAGAGGGAGGAGAGGAAAAGTGTAGCAGAAGAAAAACAGGAACTCCCTGAGGCCGTCCACAGGTCACACACACACACACACAGCACCTGAGAGCCGCTTTTGAAGCTGGCATCAAACACACACACACACACACACACACTGCTCCAGGTCTCAGACCATGGCCATGACTGCAGACAGGAGGATCAGTGTTTAGCTCTGTTTAACACTCCATTTGGGCCGAGATGAATCGAGCGGCTGGAGAGAGGCTCCATTATGAGTGCGGGGCCCCCGAGAGCTGTCAATCACACAGGGCCACCTTCACCTTTACTGATGATTACAGGGAGACACACAGAACACACACACACACACCTTTTACAGACGGAAACACACTCACGGTCAGTCTCCAGAACTCAACACATCTCGCCGGTCCTACATTTAGAAGTCAGGGAGTGTGTGTGTGTGTGTGTGTGAGGAACGAGAGTGAGGGAGAGCAGGAATGAGCGAGTGACATCTAATCTGCCCACAAGCATCCGAAGCAGCAAACACAACAATCTGTCCACGTATAATGACGGAGACACAGCAGAGACATTACAACATACACTGTTTGTGTTTCTCAGAAGGTTTGGGTTACTCTGCTACCCTGGTTAATGTTTCATGGTACGGGTTGGTAATATATATATATATATATATATATATATATATATGAAGAGTTCAGATGCAAAAGTCTCTAAGTGCCATTTGAAATTTTCTTCTAGAATGATCATTTTTATCAAGCTTGTATATTTAAGTTCAGTAATTTCACTTAAATTGCAATGATAATTACCTATTAATTGTTATTTAAGTGAAATTAAATATACAAGTTAAATATACAAGTTTGATAAAAATCATCATTAAAGAAGAAAATTTCAAATGGCATTTAGAGGCTTTTGCATCTGAACTCTTCATATATATTGAGAAATAGATTTAAATCTTTTAAATCTTAAAGTTTAAAGTCCCCCTGTGAGGAAATCCAGCGTTTAATGTTGTTTATGTGTGTATGTGGTGTTATTAATCCGCTTTAAACCGTGTGTGCGTTGATAAGTGGACAGCATTGCTGAGTATTTCCTCCTTAAAACTGCAGTGAACCAAAGACAGTCTCAAAAACACGCTTTGAAATCGCTGGTGTTTCTGACGTCACAAACCACCTTTAACCAATCAGATCAACGTGTGATCGCCAACCACTGAGTGATGAGGGGAGGCGGGGCTCATTTGCATATTCATAGAACCGTGTGTACTAAATCAGGCGAGGGTGTCGAGTTACAGTCAAGATATTTTAAGCGTGAAGGAAAAACGTTTAAATATGTCATGATCATAAGTGAATTTTAGGGGATTTAATAACACTACAGTGGCGGTAGTGTTGGACTGGATCGGGTCAAGCGGTTTCGAGTGTGTGTGTGTGGTCTGACCTGGCGGTAGGTTCCCTCCATCAGTGTGTCCAGGTTGTGCAGCGGCCCCGGGGTCTTGTCTTTAAAGCGGGTCAGCAGCCGGCGCTGGATGGCCCTGAACTGGACCGCTCGCTCCGACAGCAGATCCTGATACTGGTGTGCCTCCACACGGAGCTGCACACATCCCACAGGAACAGGAAACATCACTCTCATGGGTATGTTATAATGCCTACAGTATTCATCAGCCATGTGCATTCATATCGCCGCTGTTGGGCGAAACTGATACTTTTCAGGAAACACTATATATTTTTACATAATTAAAGTTCTCAAAGTATTTTATGTCATATATATACTCAAAAATATTGTGGCTTTATATATGATCAGGCACACATGTGTCATTATATTATTAATATTTTACCTTAATCAAGATCAAATGGAGTTCTGAGTGTTTTATCCGTCATTAGACTGACCATGTCTGAGGCGTTTTCATCAAGTTACCTCTTATTCAGTTTATTGCAGCTACACTGGTAAAGACCGCACGGCTGTGACTCGACGACCAGCGCTAGATTAAGATAATCTTCGCTCCTCAAATACATAAACATTAACCTTTATATATTTATAGTGTTTCTAGAGTAAAGAAAACACTGTCGTTATTCAAAGAAGCAGTTCTTCTTTATCATTGCATTGCAAACAAGCAGAGACGCTTTAACTGTGTCTTCATGCATTATAGAGGTGGGCGGAGTTATGAGGTTTGACTGACAGTCCGAGGAGCCAATGGAGTTACGAGGTTTAGTCACAAGCTCTTCTAATACTTTTCATTGGTTGAATATTTTCAAAACTCCTATGCAGACGTAAAGGGTGACCAATAGTAATGATTTATGTGTGTTTCCGCCCGACAGCGGCCGCATGCAGAGCCTTTTGCGTGGCGGAGTGGGCGTGTCCACCTGGAAGTGCTGGTCGAGCGTGTGGAAGTACTCGGCGAGCGGCACCGGCCCACTGAAGCTGCTCTGGAAGTCTGAGACCCCGACCGAGATGGAGTGCCTCTGGAGACCCTGAACCAGATCCTTCACCACCAGCCACATGTCCTCGAAGCTCTCGCTCTGGATCCTGTAGCGCTCTGAGGACACACACACACACACAGCGCTATCAGCCCTGTCTCCTGCACCTGTCATTAGCTCATGACAACCAACAAAGATCACAGGCTTCCGCTCGTGATGGATGAGAGCGTCAGTGAAGCGTGTGTGTGTGTTCATGACAGTCAGACAGAAGAGAGAGAGAGAGAGAGAGAGAGACTTTCATTACAGGATTTGACTGCCCTCTTTGTTGTGGAAATACTCACTCTTTCCCCTGTATCCTCAGTTCCCAGCACTAGTTTACAGTGTTGTACCGCTTGTCCACTCAACAGTCAGTCTGATAGCTTTATGATTGGATACTGTCTGATTTGACTGTCATGTGACCTACGGTGTGAACCGTTCATGAATGCTCTCCCGTGTCCTCCACCTACTGCTGTCAGAACACTGTGTGTCCGGAAACACTACTCTTCTGCCGTTCTGTTTTTCACATACTATATAGTGTGTGAGTGTGTGTGTGTGTGTGTGTACTCACGGGATGTTTTAGAAGCGAGCACGATGACTCTGGAGCCTGTTATGAACTGGAAGCCTAAAGCACTGTCATTATTCTCCGACTTCTCCGAGAAATCTAAAACACAGAAACAGTGAAATGAAGTTCAATACACAATATGTACAATATGTATGTGTGCGCGTGCATGTGTGTGTGTGTGTGTGTGTCAGTGATTGTCTTGTGTGTGTGACTGTGAGACAGAGATAGGCTGATAGCGCAGGACGCCGGATCCTCTGTTATCTGACCGCAGCTCAGGCTCACATGTGCTCAGACTAAATAACCCTGATAACAGAAGCCAGACTCCTCTACACACTGTCAATCCTCCAAAGAGAACTGGAGGTAAAATATTGTTTTCTTATATATTTTTACTTTTAGTTTTAACTTAAGCACCATCGTATCTCTTTCGTTTCGGCCACTATGACACACTATACAAGATGATGCGATCGAATCTTGCGTCCCGACGCCCGTTGTCGTTTACGAATCCCCACGGCACCCTGCGTCACACGGATCGTGCCAAAATCGGGCTAAAATCGTGTAATCTGAACCAGGCATAAGCTGCAGCTGAACATGCCCAACTTCTAAATTATCATTTCAACATATCGTGTTTTTTTATGTATTTTGAATATATAGTTTTCGCAAGTTTGTCTCAAGATGGAGGGGTGTGTGTGTGTGTGAGACTGAACCCATGACTACTCTCCTCAGTGTGATATTAGTGTTGGTAATGGCAGGAAAGGTCATGGATGATGATGGTCGACTGCTTGGCCAGAGACCCTGAGGTGGCGTGTGATGCAGTGTGTTTCTCAACAATTCACCAATAATGTGTGTGTGTGTGTGGTACCTGGGAAGACGTCGCTGAGGCTGATGGGAGGTTTGTTGGTGTCGATGGTGATCTTGAACTTGCCGTTCTTGGGCGCTGAGGACGGGACACACACTAACCGGAGAGGCAGGACGAACTTACACTGGGACACTCGAGGGATTCCTGGCAGAGTCCACACACACACACAAATATATTAAATCAATACAACATTTCAGCCAAAATGCCTGAACAACAGCAGAGGACTAATGCTTGAACAATGCAAAGCTTTTTAACTAGGCCAATAAACCAAACTGAGCCAGAGAAATCAAAGAGAAAAGTGTCAGAAACAGCAGTAAACACACACACACACACACGCACACAACTCATTCTGGGGAAGGTAGGACCCTGCATTTTGCCAATAATTAGCCAAAACAAACGCTTACATTTGAACATTAAAAATTTGTAGACATAAATATAATTTTTCAACTTAATAATCTTCTCACATATTCTTTAGTTCACAGTACAACTGTAATTTAGAATAGTAATGTATTTCTGTCTTCATTTCTTATATTTAGGCCGTGTGTCCACTAAAGAGTTTTTTTGCGTCCAATCACAGTGGAGGAGGGGCGGGACTAATAGCACAGTCTGCATCACAGACTCAAACCCAGGGCCCGCGAGGTGCAGCTCGCTGGTGTGTTGCGCTAGCTCAGCGCTTCAGTGGACACAACTACTACTGTTAATAATAATGATGGTCATTAGATTGGGTTCCTAAAAACACCAGTGAACCGGGACACTAAAATCAGGGTTCAGTTTTCTGCTACAACTCTAAATGTCGATCATATCACAGTTCAAATCGCAATTTATGACAAAATAATCACAATATCATGTTTGTGCCCGCTTGAGCAGCCTTATATATTGATTATTTTAAAATAAAAACTAAATAAAGCATCTACTGTACTACAAATATGTTACGCAATCATTAACCCAGATCAGAGAATCGTCAATGTGAAGTTAAATCATTGAAATATTCATTTAAAATATCTGGGGCTTCTTCAAGTACATGTTTTACATCTACGAATGGCCCTGGTGTGTGTGTGTGTGTGTGTGTGTCACTCACTCACCTGCAGGATTGAGCTCTGACACATGTGTGGCAGCAAGAAAGAAGAACAACACAACACTTAATATCAGAGTACACACACACACACACACACACACAAGGAGAGTCCAGGAAACACACTGATAGTCATGTCATAAAGATAGCTATAAACACTCAGTCATGCATGTCAGATTAATGCATTCACATACTCACAGATATTCACATTACTGTAATGCACTTGTTTTAAATGTAAACACACACAGTGCTTAATTGCCAAGTATGTCTACATTATGGTAGAATTTATGTAGATTTATTTAAATAAATAAAAGCTAAAAAGAAAAATGTGTTCAGTACTGAAAATCACCACAGCAAACGAACGTTTTAATGTTTCTGAGAGAGTCTCTTATGTGATGTGAAATACAGTGAAATATTCCTATTCCTGATCAGAGCTTCAGCATCATTCCTCCAGTCGTCAGAGTCACATGATCCTTCAGAAACATCTGCTTTCCTCAGAAACGGGACCTGCACCTGTCTTCCTGAGACTCATCCTGAAGCTTTTAGTGAAAGCCACGACTCTGACTGCTTTATGAAATATGAGCTACAGGCTGGAAGTGTGTGAGATGCACCTCCGCTCGCAGGACTAAATGTGGCGTCAGTCTCTCCGCTCCATCTGTGCACGGCTCAACTTACCCCTGTGTAAACACCAGTGGCCGACGACACACACTCCCTGACCAGCTGACCTCGCCTGCCACCACTGCTCTGTTTACTTAGACATTGCTGGCCAGTAATGGCTGTTCCTCTCTCACTCACACACACACACTCTCCCAAACACACTATATAAGCGTGATATAACTTGGATTGCTCGTGAACTGGAGCTCGTCTCATAAAGGAACCGAAACTCAGAAATATATAGAAATCTTGAAATGTCTACGTTTAAACAAACAGATACTCTCTCTTGTAGCCTAATCCGTATGAAGTGCATTAGCCTACGTTACTCCATATAGGCGCGTTCACAATAGTGGCGAGTCAGCATCATCAACTTCATCTTTTCAGTCAGGAATGACACAGAAAACATTAGTTTATTAATAAACAATTAAAATGTCTATATTTGACACATTCGTTACTTTTGCTGGTTCTTTGTGGCAAGCCCACAAACTAATCGAATATCGTGACTCCCTATTTTGTACCAGGCAATTTATGGTTGTTCTTGGTAAAAAAGAAAATAAGCAACTGTGCGTAATATTATTTCATAGCCTTTTATTTTACTGCGTACAGCGCGCAAGGTTTTATGCGCATGCTCTAAGTCTTCTTCTCGCATTTTTAGTGGATCTCTATGGCAGAATTACAGCGCCACATACTGGTCTGGGATGTCTACTACATCATTTTCAGTCGTTTTCAGTGGTTTCGTGTGGACGCAGATATTTTTCGAGACGCCTCCGTGTTTTACGGACGAGAAAAAAAATATCGGATAGGGAAAGCTCTGGCTTCGTGAGTTGCACTCCCCTAACCCGCCCAATCATCAGCTGTGTTTCAGTGTCTCCACCTCTGTGTAACTCCTCCCCCTTGAAAGGTATATCGACTACAATGTATATTCCTTAGTCAGGCTTGGGTAAGATGTTTGGACGAAGAAGACTTGGATGGAAAGACTACAGCAACACAACAGCTCGTGTTCTCAATAAAATAATCCGACTTAAGACACAACCCGAGTGTCCTGGGCTTCGCTTCCGAGTTCCTCAACTTTAGAAGAACGGGTTTACAACACGGCAGAGTTTATGTGCATGTCAACCGAGTGCACACGTTATTTATGTGCATTAATAAATATGCACATCTTGGCATTTCCATCCAGTGATTTTTTAGCAAAACTAGACAGGTGTGTGCTCAAGTGTGTGTGTGTGTGTGTGTGTGTGAGAGAGAGAGAGAGAGAGAGAGAGAGAGAGAGAGAGATGAATAGAAAGAGTAAAAGAAACAGAGCCATTACAGTGAAGTGAGTGAGAGGGGTTTCCCCGGGTCTGAGTGTGTGAGTGTGTGTGTGTGATTCTGAAAGTTATTACAATTAGCTTTATACTATTCAGAATATTAAAGACAGTTTTGAATCCAGCACTGTATTGTATGTTGTACACTGCATTGTTTACAGTTGCTAATGTGTCCACCAACAGTTAAAGATGACAAAGCCTGAAACGTTTACAAGTTTCCTAATAATAGATGAAAATAACAACAATAGAAGTCTATGGTATATCCTCATTTAGATAGTTTGTAAAATATGTGTGTGTGTGTGTAGTCCTACCTGCAATTTAATGTGTTAAACAGACTCAGTATTTTCAAAAGGACAGAAAGAAAAGAGAGAGCCAAAGAAAAGGGAAACTCCCGGATATTTTCAGGAAGTTTTCCAGCAGCCTCTGCCAACACAGACACGACCCGGAGAAACGGCAGCACAACACACTCTTTCTCTGCTCTCCTGCTCTGGCACACATCCACACATCTTGAAATGAGTAAAAGGGCTAAAAGACGTGAGGAAAGAGGCTAATGCGTTCCAGAGCTCAGACTAACAGAGCGTGGGAGTGTGTGTGTGTGTGTGTGGAGCTGTACCTGTAGCTGAGCTGTAGGACACCGCGATATCTCCACTCAGATCCGCTGGAGGATACACACCGTTCAGAAACACTGAGAACCTCACCACTGACTCACTCCCACTGCCTGCAAACACACACAGCAAACACACACATCAAACACACACATCAAACACACACAGCAAACACACACATCAAACACACAACAGCAAACACACAACAGCAAACACACACATCAAACACACACAGCAAACACACAACAGCAAAAACACACAGCAAACACACACATTAAACACACACAGCAAACACACACATCAAACACACAACAGCAAACACACACATCAAACACACACAGCAAACACACAACAGCAAACACACAACAGCAAACACACAACAGCAAACACACACATCAAACACACAAAGCAAACACACACATCAAACACACACATCAAGCACACACATCAAACACACAACAGCAAAAACACAACAGCAAACACACACAAACACACACAGCAAACACACACATCAAACACACACATCAAACACACACATCAAACACACACAGCAAACACACCACAATTTTTTTTAACTCCAGGTACAGAACTATAAAATACAAAAAAAATATAAATGTATATATATTTATCATAATTTATATATATATATATATATATATATACACACAAAAAATATTGGAATATTATAATGTAAATTAAAAAACATATTTAAGAAATATAATAATAATAATTCACAGTCTCAAATGGATTTTGTAAACAATATAAACGAGCAGATTAAGGGCCGCTAATATTATAAACGAGCAGATTAAGGGCCGCTAAGATTAATAATATTAAGGGCCGCAGATTAAGGGCCGGTAATATTATAAACGTGTAGATTAAGGGTCGCTAATATTATAAACGTGCAGATTAAGGGCCGCTAATATTATAAAGTGCAGATTAAGGGCCGGTAACATTATAAACGAGCAGATTAAGGGCCGTTAATATTATAAACGAGCAGATTAAGGGCTGCTAATATTATAAACGTGCAGATTAAGGCCCGATAATATTATAACCGTGCAGATTAAGGGCCGCTAATATTATAAACGTGCAGATTAAGGGTCGCTAATATTATAAACGTGCAGATTAAGGGCCGCTAATATTATAAACGAGCAGATTAAGGGCCGCTAATATTATAAACGTGCAGATTAAGGGCCGATAATATTATAACCGTGCAGATTAAGGGCCGCTAATATTATAAACGTGTAGATTAAGGGTCGCTAATATTATAAACGTGCAGATTAAGGGCCGCTAATATTATAAACGAGCAGATTAAGGGCCGATAATATTATAAACGAGCAGATTAAGGGCCGCTAATATTATAAACGTGCAGATTAAGGGCCGATAATATTATAAACGAGCAGATTAAGGGCCGATAATATTATAAACGTGCAGATTAAGGGCCGATAATATTATAACCGTGTAGATTAAGGGCCGCTAATATTATAAACGTGTAGATTAAGGGTCGCTAATATTATAAACGTGCAGATTAAGGGCCGCTAATATTATAAACGAGCAGATTAAGGGCCGATAATATTATAAACGTGCAGATTAAGGGCCGATAATATTATAACCGTGCAGATTAAGGGCCGCTAATATTATAAACGTGTAGATTAAGGGTCGCTAATATTATAAACGTGCAGAATAAGGGCCGATAATATTATAAAGTGCAGATTAAGGGCCGCTAATATTATAAACGTGTAAATTAAGGGTCGCTAATATTATAAACGTGCAGATTAAGGGCCGCTAATATTATAAACGTGCAGATTAAGGGTCGCTAATATTATAAACGAGCAGATTAAGGGCCGCTAATATTATAAACGTGCAGATTAAGGGTCGCTAATATTATAAACGTGCAGATTAAGGGCCGCTAATATTATAAACGAGCAGATTAAGGGCCGCTAATATTATAAACGTGCAGATTAAGGGCCGATAATATTATAAACGTGCAGATTAAGGGCCGCTAATATTATAACCGTGTAGATTAAGGGCCGCTAATATTATAAACGAGCAGATTAAGGGCCGCTAATATTATAAACGAGCAGATTAAGGGCCGATAATATTATAAACGTGCAGATTAAGGGCCGCTAATATTATAACCGTGTAGATTAAGGGCCGCTAATATTATAAACGTGTAGATTAAGGGCTGCTAATATTATAAACGTGCAGATTAAGGGCCGCTAATATTATAAACGAGCAGATTAAGGGCCACTAATATTATAAACGAGCAGATTAAGGGCCGCTAATATTATAAACGAGCAGATTAAGGGCCACTAATATTATAAACGAGCAGATTAAGGGCCGCTAGTAGGGGTGTAACGATTCACTCGTTTTCTCGATGCATCGATTATAAATCCTGGCGATGCATATGCATCGATCCTGAAACATGTATTTTGAATCGTGAATCGTTTATTTACGTGAATAATCGATTTAAAAGGCTAAGAATCGAATTAATCACGATTTTATAGCGATTCAGTGGTTTAAAATATATAAACACAACCTGTTCCTGGTACAAGCTGCCTCACGCATTGGCCGTCATACGACATCCGCATTTGATTGGTTTCAGGCGCTCACACACCCCTGATTTCTCACGCTGAAGCCCGGTCGGTCAAATGCCTGAAAGATGAGTTTATCTTTCTACCTGTTGAGCTACTCATGTCGTGATCAGCTTGTATTACCGCAAATTAGTAAAAATCTCCCGGAATCTAGAGCGAGCGTGCATACGAGACAGAGGTTGTGCTCCAAACCGCGTATCGCGCGTTCACACACGGCTGCACGCACTCGGCAGAGAGGGAAAGCGAGCGAGAGACCACCTTGCGTGTAAAAGCGCTTTATTTCATAGTGCCCACGCAATGGCATGGCAGCTTTATCAATGGCTTGAGCGGTTTGCCTCAAAACTATTGCTTTCTCGACAGAGAGCTCAGCTGGAGATCGAGCTCAAACATGGACTGCTCAAAAATCTATAGTTAACGTTATGAAAGCATGAGAGCTATGGGACCGAGCGCGAGCAAAATCCAGTGAAAAGATGATAACGAGTGCACTGAGAGGACGCAAAATGAAACTAATGAAAACGTCTCCATTAATTTGTGCATGTAGTCATTTAATGCAATACTTTAAAAGCCTTTTTCAAAATATTTGCTACTTGCAAATGCTAATTTGTAGGCCATTGAATTTTTTTTTTATAATAATATATTCATTAAAATTAAAAACAAACATGAACTAACATTAACAATGGACAAAATCCCCACTATCTGACCCCCGAAGGCCGCTGTGTAGGCTAATTCAAACCCAGACAAAGACCCATTGGCTGAAGCATTGAAATAATACTATAATGCATATAAAAAATTAAGAATCGAATCGAATTAATCGAATCGCATCGAATTTGGATGTGAATCGCATCGAATCGAATCGTTCTGAATTTGCACAAATCGTTCATGAATCGAATCGAAAACCTATGAATCGTGAATCGAATCGATTCGCTGTCTACCCAAAGATTCACAGCCCTAGCCGATAGTATTATAAACGTGCAGATTAAGGGCCGCTAATATTATAAACGTGCAAAATAAGGGCCGGTAACATTATAAACGTGCAGATTAAGGGCCGCTAATATTATAAACTTGCAGATTAAGGTCCGGTAACATTATAAACGTGCAGATTAAGGGCCGTTAACATTATAAACGTGCAGATTAAGGGCCGTTAACATTATAAACGTGCAGATTAAGGGCCGTTAACATTATAAACGTCCAGATTAAGGGCCGTTAACATTATAAACGTGCAGATTAAGGGCCGCTAATATTATAAACGTGCAGATTAAGGGCCGTTAACATTATAAACGTGCAGATTAAGGGCCGTTAACATTATAAACGTGCAGATTAAGGGCCGTTAACATTATAAACGTGCAGATTAAGGGCCGCTAATATTATAAACGTGCAAAATAAGGGCCGGTAACATTATAAACGAGCAGATTATGGGCCACTAATATTATAAACGAGCAGATTATGGGCCACTAATATTATAAACGTGCAGATTAAGGGCCGCTAATATTATAAAGTGCAGATTAAGGGCCGCTAATATTATAAACGTGCAGATTAAGGGCCGCTAATATTATAAACGTGCACATTAAGGGCCGCTAATATTATAAATGTGCAGATTAAGGGCCACTAATATTATAAACGAGCAGATTATGGGCCACTAATATTATAAACGTGCCGATTAAGGGCCGCTAATATTATAAACGTGCAAAATAAGGGCCGGTAACATTATAAACGAGCAGATTATGGGCCACTAATATTATAAACGAGCAGATTATGGGCCACTAATATTATAAACGTGCAGATTAAGGGCCGTTAACATTATAAACGAGCAGATTAAGGGCCGTTAACATTATAAACGTGCAGATTAAGGGCCGCTAATATTATAAACTTGCAGATTAAGGTCCGGTAACATTATAAACGTGCAGATTAAGGGCCGTTAACATTATAAACGTGCAGATTAAGGGCCGTTAACATTATAAACGTGCAGATTAAGGGCCGTTAACATTATAAACGTCCAGATTAAGGGCCGTTAACATTATAAACGTGCAGATTAAGGGCCGTTAACATTATAAACGTGCAGATTAAGGGCCGTTAACATTATTAACGTGCAGATTAAGGGCCGTTAACATTATAAACGTGCAGATTAAGGGCCGTTAACATTATAAACGTGCAGATTAAGGGCCGCTAATATTATAAACGTGCAAAATAAGGGCCGGTAACATTATAAACGAGCAGATTATGGGCCACTAATATTATAAACGAGCAGATTATGGGCCACTAATATTATAAACGTGCAGATTAAGGGCCGCTAATATTATAAAGTGCAGATTAAGGGCCGCTAATATTATAAAACGTGCAGATTAAGGGCCGCTAATATTATAAACGTGCACATTAAGGGCCGCTAATATTATAAATGTGCAGATTAAGGGCCACTAATATTATAAACGAGCAGATTATGGGCCACTAATATTATAAACGTGCCGATTAAGGGCCGCTAATATTATAAACGTGCAAAATAAGGGCCGGTAACATTATAAACGAGCAGATTATGGGCCACTAATATTATAAACGAGCAGATTATGGGCCACTAATATTATAAACGTGCAGATTAAGGGCCGTTAACATTATAAACGAGCAGATTAAGGGCCGTTAACATTATAAACGTGCAGATTAAGGGCCAGTAACATTATAAACATGCAGATTAAGGGCCGTTAACATTATAAACGAGCAGATTAAGGGCCGGTAATGTTATAATAAAATCCTCTTCATACGGCGGAAGGAGAGTGAAATCCGATCGGTTTATTGTTTGACATGCTCTCAGAGAAAGGCTCACCAGAACAGAGTTACTGTGTTTCACTTTTCATGTGTTCTGGGTTGGTAGAAGCACCAGGACCCGATTATAGCACATGGGGAAACTCAGATTTTCATGATTGGTCCCTTTTAAAATGCACTGGAGTCAGTGGATAACAGTGACTTCTCGTCAGTTGAGTGGGTTTGTGTGGTCTTCAGTAAGGTGATCTGCTTCATGTGTAGTGTTGTGTGTGTTCACACAGGTGACTGAACCGCAGTAATGCCTGATTTCTGAGCACTTAGATTAAGTGTCTGGCCCACCAACACACACACATACATACACACACACACACACACACTCTCTCAGTTTGAGCTCCTATCAGCTCATCGGGCGACAGCACTTTCTATGTGCTTTAAAAGCTCTCTCTCTCTCTCTGAGTGGCGTGGGCAAACACTAGCCGGCGGGTCGTTTGAGTCGGCACAAAGCGTGACGCCCCTCTTTAAACCGGTCTAGCATTTAGGTGGTTAAACTAGGGCCATTTGTGCTGACCTCTCTTGACCTGCGCTGACAGTAGCCCAGCACACACATTACACACACAGCACAGAAGCACTTAGACAGGAATTCCCTGACAAAAGCAGCGTGAGTGTGTGTTGTGAGGATTACAGGGGTGTGTGTGACCTTTAGGGCAGCATTGAGTCCTGCCATCTCAGCATTTACACGTCTACTGGAGATCTGGGTCACGCTCACAACTCTGTCCAAACACCTCAGCAATACCAGCGCTCCATCAATCGCATACACAAGCAAAGTTTGTGTTTTCATACTATTATACTTGTTTCATACTTGTGTTTTCATACTGCACAGAGAAGGAGATGAAGAGTTGAATAAACTCGTTGTTTTTTGGGCACAAAAAGTATTCGCATCGCTTGATAATCTTAAGGTTGAGCCGCTGTAGTCACTCTTTCATAACTTTTGGGCCGGACAGTTTCGATCCCTTCAGAAGCCGATGGAGGAGAGATCCAGCTCTCAGATTTAAGCACAAATATCTTCATTTGTGTCAGGAAGATGAACGACAGTCTGACGGGGTTGAACCACATGAGGGAGAGTCATTACTGACAGAGTTTACAGTTTTGGGGTGAACTATCCCTTTAATAAAATACAGCTGTTGGTTGTTTGTTCATGCTAGTTCACAGTGCAGTAACTAATGTAAACAAACACAACATTTGATGCTAATAACATATTAGTAAATGCTGAAATTAATATTTTATTTAAGATTAATAAATGCTGTAGAAGTATTGTTCATCCATACAGTAGTTCATGTTAACTAGGTAGTTAACTAATGAACTTATTGTAAAGTGTCGGCCTTATTTTATACTCATTATGGAGTATTGCTGCACTGGGTTATGGAACAACTGAAGAAAACGACAAATCACACGATAAAGGAAGCACGTGGTGTACGGTTCAAGCTTGTTCAAATACTGCCAGTGGTTTTAGAAACAGTTGATGAGTTAATCAGGGACTGTCGTGTGCTCTCCTGTGACTGAACACTCCTCCTCGAGAGACACCTACATCTACTTCCTTTCATGACCACCAGCAAGATTTTCACATTTGGTATTGAAATAATATCACAATCCCATAATAAAATGCGTTTTTTCTCCTAGTCCTAAAGTCACATCTGTGACCCTGGAGCACAACACCAGTCACATGGGCACATTTTCTGAAACTGAGATTTATACATCATATGGAAGCTGAATAAATACGCTTTCCATTGATGTGTGGTTTGTTAGGACAGGACAATATTTGGCTGAGATACAACTATTAGAAAATCTGGGGGTGCAAAATAAAAATGAAACATTGGGAAAATCTCCTTTAATTAAAGTTGTGCATTTGTGTGTGCGATTGTGTATATTTACAAAATATCTTCATGGAACATGATCTTTACATAAGTTTCGGCATAAAAGAAAAATCGATCATTTTTATCGATGTGTGTGTGTGTGACAGTATCAGGGAGAAGGAAGGTCATACCCATAGAGTCCAACACGAACTGGTCCTGTGTGACAGCCAGAGGAGGCTGAACACACACCGTCATCTTCGGGCTCGCCACAGCAGAACGGCTCTTTATCCTCACCTGAGAGAGAAGCACACACACACACACACACTCTCTAAATCATCACCTGAGAGAGAAGCGCACACACACCGATTCGACATGCGACTGAACGCAGGAGAACACAAAAATCCGCACAAGATCAGATTTTTTCGCATCCGATCTGAGCCACTTAGCTTTATGGGTGAACATTACATTAAACTGTCAGGTGGTTGGTTTTGACATTGGCTGTCATGAGGCATTATAACTTTTTAATGACAAATTCAATGTGTACCACTGTAGTTGAGGACACGAAACATATTCATGACTCAGTTATAATGCCTCATGACAGCCAATGTCAAAGCCAACCACATGACAGATTAATGTAATATTCACCCATAAAGCTAAGTGTTTTCTTAAGTTTAATAATTAATCTGCTATATCATGTTTATGACAATTTATGTGGTCTTGGTAATGTCAAGTTGTCATAACAAAGACATCTCTCAAACAATGTCATATTTGCATCAAAAATGTCATAATTGAGCAAATGACACTTAATCACAGTCATAAACATGCATAAAACCTCCTTCATGTTCATGTCATGTGTCCTGTTATGATTATGAAGGTGTCATATAGCACAGCCATTCAAAAAACCAGGGTCTGCCATGTGGGGAGTAACACAATCACCGAAAATAATTTTGGGCGGAAGTGAATGTAAACGCAGATGTTTGACTCCAGTGGTGTCTGGAGTGAGTGTGAGCTGGCGGGCCAGAGGATGTGATGTGTGCATGAAGAGGTCAGAGGTCAGATCTACGGCAAAAGAGCTGGTGCTCACCTGGACAGAGACGGACGGGACCGGCTGGCCGCTCATCTCTGCTATCAGCGCACACTGGGGAGAGAAGAGAGCGTTAGCATTAGCACAACTCAAGCACACTACAGGAGTGAGACTGAGACTGAACACTGAGACGGTACATAGACATTAGGGTGGATAATTTATAAAATAATTATATTTTTTTTAAAAGCTTGGAAGCTCATTTCCAACAAGATAAAACATAAAAGGGTAATTATGACTCACAAATCTGACTTTTTTTCGTTGGAATTTCGAGTTTATGACAAACAATTTTGACTTAATCACTGAGAAATGATTTGTGATACAATCCAATTAAAACAAAAATAGAGATGTTAAAATGTTGCAATTACTTTTAGTATTTTTTTATTCTGTGTTGGAAACAAGCTTCATTGATAAAGTGACATTGCTTTTAATTAGAGAAAGGTGTGCGTTTCCTTCACTGTAGGTTAAGCACAAGTATAGCTCTCGAACCGAGCTAACAGGGAACCAGAACATTCACTAACGTTCTTTAAAAGTTGTGTAAATGTTAGGACAAAACGTTATTAAAATAATGTTTTCGGAACGTTCATATAACATTATTAACGTTCTTGTAACGTTGAGAGAAAACGTTCTTAGAACAACGTTCTTGGAACGTCTTTATCACGTTATTTGTATTTGATGAACGTTCTCATTACGTTGATAAAAACGTTCTTAGAACAACGTTATCGGAACGTCTTTATCAGGTTATTTGTGTTTGATAAACGTTCTCATAACGTTCCAGCAACATTATGCTAACCTTAGGATAACGTTCTAACAACATTATGCTAACGTTCCAGCAACGTTCTGCAAACATTAAGACACCGTTCCAGCAACGTTAAGCAAATCGACATTTCCACGTTTTTAGAACATTTTAAATTAACGTTCCCACAACCAAAATGGAACATTAGAAAAACGTTCTCAGAACCTAACTTTGTTAGCTGGGACATAAACCCTCTCAGGGACATTAAGGATGTCCTCACTCTGGAAAAAACATATTATTACATAATAAAATGAATTCTTTTATGTGAAAGTAGTAGACGTCTACTACGGTGTGTCTTCATCTGTGTGACTGTGTGTGAAAGATTGATAAAGTGTGTTCAGTGTAAGTGCTGAAGTGTGTCTGGCTGTAGCCTGTATGCATTAGCATTAGCATATAGAGTGATATAGTGTGTTTGTACCGAGAGCTGGTCGAGCTGAGACGAAACGACAGCGGTCACACTGAGCTCTTCTTCTGTCTCGGCCCTCGGCACGATATCTGCACAAACACACTTTCAGATCAACGACAGGACACACACTTTCCGGAATATACTTTTTTTAATGTATTTTTTAATCAACTGAAATGAGCTCCAGTTTATATTCCAATCTGACTTATTGTAATGCAATTAGCGTCAATCATGCAAAGCTCACAGACATGTGTCAGATACAACACTGCAAACATTACAGCACATCTGAGGCTCATCAAACGCCCAGACTGCAGTTACACACACACACTTAACAGTTGTGCACATGAAGCTCAGAGCCATGTTTGTTGGTCTCACGTCTCTCCCTCCGTATTTCTGTGGGGTATTGATTGATATACAGTACAAATGAATATTTTCATCCTCTTGTTCCCTTTTAATCCCTACATATATTTACATCCTTTAATGCGGTAAAGTAGAAAAAAGCTGTAGATTACATAAATCATTAATTATCTTTATGCTTTTAGATTTCTGTAGATGAGTAACATCTGTCAACACAACAGTCAGTATTAGTGGTTCAGAACTGACTGCTCCCTACAGACATGTTTTATCTTGTGGTTTCAGTTTTTATCTTTCCTCGCTTTAAATTCGTTTAGGCTAGGTGTTTATTATAAGTGCTGTTTATAATAAATGCCCCTATGATTTATGTTTATTTTAAATTATGTTTAATTTTTCTGTATACCATTAATTTTTTTAAATCTTAAAGCCCCCCTGTGGTGTGAATCCAGTGTTTAATGTTGTTTATGTGTGTGTGTGGTGTTTTAATCCGCTTTAACACACACCGTGTGTGCGTTGATAAGTGGACAGCATTGCTGAGTATTTTCACCTTAAAACTGCAGTGAACCAAAGACAGTCTCAAAAACACGCTTTGAAATCACTGACGTCACAAACCACCTTTAACCAATCAGATCAACATGTGATCGACGAGTGAGTGAGTGGAGGCAGGGCTCATTTGCATATTCATAGGACCGCACATACTAAATGAGGCGAGGGTGTCGAGTTACATTCAAGATATTTTAAGACATGAAGATTATTTTTACAAGAAAAAAAAATGGTTTAGATGTTTTTTCGCTCCATCTAAACAAAGCAATGTTGATGTGGTGTGACTTATGTTCAGCTGTGGATTTTTCCTAAAACTGTGTCAATCTGGACTCGATTGTGATTGTTAGGTTATGATAACATTGGTGTGATATTGTGTGATATTCTCTTTTCCCCCGGCCCACTCGGCCACGCTAACATTAGCAGTAAACATGCACGGATTCAAGGGTGGAAAGCATTACTAAATTCTGCTAAAGTCTTCGGTTAAACACATATGAAGAAAGTAAGATAAAGGCTCTGTTGGATCAGGCTGTGAGTTTGGTATGGCT